GGCCTTTTCCGCTAAGCAGTGTTTTTTAAACAGAGATAGCTACTTCAGAGTGAAGCCATCTTCCAGAGAAGTGAGCAACCCCGCCGAAAACAGAGTAGCAATATCGGTTCTAAGTTTACGGGCCTTGCCTGAAAAACTATTTGGACACTACTTCCTCCAAATTTGGTAACGATAACCTGCGGTGAAATATTTTCACGTTTCATTATTATAAGGCTAGTGCCGAAAGTATCATCATCTAGTAGTGTAATATTGGTCTAGGTATCTTTCCAGTTTTTCCTGATCCGAAAAAGTATTTTTCCTGTTTTGTTTGCTTAATTAAAATTTTCTATTTTATACCCCAATGGAGTCATGTGTAGAAGTTCACGCAAGTGAGGAAAGTTTTCTGATCGCCATTCACTTGGGAGTGGCCAGAAACGATTCTTTTACATATGACTCAAGCAGCTCACGACTTCCGGTCCTTGACCAAGTATCCTCTGGGCGAAACATTCCCTGCATAGGGTTGTGCGCTGGGTTTGGGACCCGCCACGTAAAAAAACCACCCCAATGTCAACGCAACAACAGCCTCGGAAAAGCTCGGCTATAATCGCGTAAGCGGTGTCTACGCCAATCAAGAAGATTTTATACCCCAAACAGGGTATATTATTAAGTTTGCCACGATGTTTGTAACACCCAAAAGAAACGTCGGAAATATGTATGATTGATCGGCGCGACGGGCTGAGCCGATTCAGCTGTAATCTCAGTTTTCCAGATATCRGTTTGAAATTTTGCACACGTCTTTTTCCCACCAAAAAGCTGCTCGCAGCTCGAAACTGTCCATATCAAACTACTACAGTATATAGCTGCCATATAATTTGAATGGCCACACTCAAGTACTTGTATAGAGAGCTTTTTTGCTTGAGAAGATATCTTCACGAAATTTGGCATAGATTTTTATCCAAGACATAGCTACACTCTCCAAGTATATTGTTCAGATCGRACCACTATAGCTTATAGCTGGCATAACTGAGCGATCAAAATCAGAATAAAGATTTCTTTATACCTTTTATGATATAAAAATGCTCCTATGAAGGGTATTAAAGCTTCGATACAACCGAAAGTGCCGTTTATTTTGTTTTACCTAAAAAATGCTTGAAATTCGGGCCTGTATTACATAATCACGTATATAATCATAATAGTTTATTCATGTATATTTATTGTATAAACACTTTAATCTATATTTAGATTACTTAGTACCTTTCTAGTTGGACGCGCAAATACTACAATACTGATCTATAAACTTGAAAGTATGCTGCCGTTATCTCTACTACCAGTATGCAGCCAGCGGAGAAATTCTTCATGACTCATGTCGGCAAACTGATTAACGCCCATCTCGAAAGTCACCTCACCCCTCTTATAGCGTTCATTGTGGGCATCTATCATGCGTAAGTTTTTGCAAAATATAATGCGTCGATGGGCGTCTTCGAGATTCGAGTTGTATTGCTTTTTGTATTCAATCTGTAGCGAGCGCAAAAGACAACAAATTAAGAGAAAAACAGAAAAAAATCTCTTCAGTTCACTGCGAACCTTGTAAAGTTGCCATCTTTGAGAGCTGCAATCGTCCTTAACGCAGAATTTGCTGTAAGCCGCCACAATCATTAAAAGAAGAAGCAGCACTGCGCGCTTGAAATGTGTCGAGTGAAAGAAAGCGCACATTTTGTTCTTGGACTCGTGTGTTGTGCGGCAGGTTACGAAATACCTACGCTTAACAACGGCGCTTTGATTTATACTACACCTCAAGCTTTGTTTAGTGGGTCTTAGCGGTGATTATGTACCCGTAGATAGGCATAGCTGCGGGTGTGTATACGTGCGCATGTGGGGTCCATGCTCGCGTTTCAGATAACCGTTGAAAGCAATAAATTTTTTACACAATTTCCTTTAAAAAAATGTACGAAACATGATAATGACTTTCAGAATATATATGTATATACTGCATTGATGAAAGCATTTAATACAAATTATTACTCATTAGCAGCTCGACATTGTTCTGACATTAATCCAACTCTAATTGATATGGAAAATATTTCTATGGCGATAGAGCGCAAACTCGCTTGGGCGTCCGCCCAATATGAATATTAACTATTAATATAATTTGTAGAWAGCAACACTAATTTATGGAAAATGCTATTTATGGGTGTAATCTCTGCTAACAAATTCAATGTGGTATATATTAGCGCCGTCAGGATCGGGAAGAACCACTCCGTGTCGTTTAATAGCAAACGAGGTTTCAGACCAGGTAACTCCCTATCAAGAGACTTCTTCAATATACGGCTAGAGAAAATAATTCGAGCTGCAGAACTGAAGAGAGAAGGTGCAATCTTCTACAAGTGCGTTCCACTGCTGGCGTATACAGATGACATCGATATCATGGGCCATGACAACCGGGAGGTTATTTCTGCTTTCTATAGTTTGGAAAAAGAAGCGAAGCAAACGGGTCTCATAGTGTACGAGGACAAGACGAAATATCTCCTGTGATCCAACAAACAGTCGTCGTATTCACGACTTGGCTCCAACATCGACGGTTATAATTTCGAAGTGTTAGATAATTTCGTCTATCTTAGAACCAGCATTAACACCAACTATAATGTCAGCCTCATAATCTAACTCAAAATATCTCATGCCAATAGGTGCTACTTCGCACTGAAAAGTAAAGTCCTCTCTCGACGAACAAAGTTCCTCATTATTGCCGTCCTACTATATGCTGCAGAGGCATGGAAGATGACAACATCTGATGACTCGGCGTTACGAGATTTCGAGAGAAGGGTTTTGCGGAAGGACCATAAATCTTCCGCACTTGCGTATTGGCTACGCTGAATACCGCCGTCGATGAAACGATAAGCCGTACGAGATATACGACAGACGAATAAATAGACAGACGGACTTGTCTAAACTGKTACAGCTCGTCGCAATGATAATTTTCATTCTTATTGTTCGTCTTACTGAGCTGGTGCAAAGTATTTGCCGTCGTAGCTGTTAATTATGACTCGATCTTAATTTCGGTATAAAATAGGAAAAAGTATCTAGTAGGAAAATAATAATTCTTGGTCTTCAACGGCGCTGTCGATCGAACCTCTCAAAAAACAAAAAAAAAGAAATGGGATTGGCTCTGTTATGTTCTGAAACGAGAGCTATACACAGTCACCCCGAACAGAAAAAACAGAAATATGGGATTGGCTCTGTTATGTTCTGAAACGAGAGCTATACACAATCACCCCGAACACTGCCACCGTAATATATAAGACAATTGAAAAAAAAATGTCACGCTCTACCCTTAAAAAAATTTGACATCGAAATATCCAAGATCCAAAAAGCTGGCGTCAAATCCAGAATCTAGCGCAAGATCGAAAAAAATCTAATATGACACCCAACTAGAAATTATTAATTGCGACCTGAAGAGTTGAAGTCGAAGTTGGCTTCATTATCGATTTAATGAACTGCTTCAATTCAGTGAGAGTTCTGGGTTGTATTTTGTATACCTCTTGCTGTACACAACCCCATAAAAAAGTCTGGTGCAGTCAGGTTCCATCGTGCTGGAAACAAACGGTATTGAAAGGTATTTGTCTTCGACGCAGTTCTGGGTAAAAAAGACGCATTCACATCTTTAAATAATGGTTCCCATTGACAGTTACTCTTACGCCGTGTTCTTCAAAGAAGTATAGCCCGCCAAAAAACTTTACTTTGACTCGTTCTCGGTGAAGTTCTGTCTCGTGGATTATTTCTGAATTTTATTCACTCCTTATATGGCAGTTTTGCTTGTTTTTATTGAAGTTTAGTTCAAATTGACCTCATCCCACAGGTAGGTAATTTGTTAATTTATTTTTTGCTTCGGCCATTTCAATCATTTTTTGGCAAAATTCCAGGCGAATGGGCAATTTTAGTRGGTTTAACCGGCTTTKTACGGAACCAGGCTTAAGTCATCACGAATTATCCGTAGTAATGACCGTCTGCTAATGCCGTCTGAGTTTCCTTTGGAAGGAAATGATGGACTGCCAAGAATGGTAAGCAAGCTGCACTATCCAAATCCTTTTTTCTGTATCCCAAGTGGTCATTGTGATACTACTTCCAGCTATATTTACCAACCTCATAACGGTCCATTTACTCGCCAAAATTCCGCCTGAATTCCTTTCGGATGGAAATGAAGCACCGCAAAGCATGGTACYTCTCCACTATCCAAATTTTACAGAAATAATCTAAGTAATAATAATTTTGAGCTTCTGATTGTTTSAGTTTTAGCTTAGAAAGGTGTGTAGAGAACATATAATATTTTTTGGGTAAGGTTAATAGACTACCCAAGATATCTATTTGACTAGAAACCTACAAAATAACAGACTCAAGTGATGCTTAGCAAAAATKAAAAAAATAGAATAATACAAAATGTAGCAATCTGCCAAAAACTTATAAAATATGAATATAATTAATTTATTAAAGCTTCATTTAAAAATAATAAATATGATAAGCTTTGAAAAATGTATAAAATCAATAACATGTGCCATGATTGGGCCAAGAACTTTTGAAATGTTTTCGAGATCAGTGTGTTATCACCACAAAATTTATTATTCTTATTATTTTTTTTAATTTATTGGTGGCTTTGAAACCGTTAATGAACAAAAGATACTATGAAATTCACAAATAACTCAGTTGGCAACCACAACAAACGGAGACAGCAACAAAGGTATGCAAATTAGACAAATGCCAGATGTGATAAACTAAGCAATAAATTTTGAAATTCTCTGCGTTCGTTTGACCTTTACCTGCCGTATCACAAAATGTCA